CCCCATTTATAGTACACTAGCTATTAGTGTACACCACGAGCTATGGTCGATCACATTATCAAGATATTTGTGTACACTATTGGCAGTTATTATGTGGTGATAGACCCCATGTATTGGTGGACACATTTGTGGTGATAATTGTGACAAAAGTAACTAAAAAATGATGTTTGGATCCGCTTATAGGCAATAAGAGTCTTCTGGTGCTGCGATGCGTGTCCTTCGAGGCGCTGATCGAGAACTGGTTAGTCCACTACTACTCGGAGGACGAGGTGATGGAGTCGTTCGACATCGAGGAAGGCGTGGAGCAGGAGTTGTCCACCGCTTCCCTACTCGTCCTTTACGTTATCTACAAGTTTTCCGTTTGTTTCCCGCATATTGTCATGTATTTCAACGATAATTGGCATCAATTGCAAGAGTTTAACACCCGTTTGGATCAGATGTTGAAAATGGATAAAATCGTACAACTCTTACGCCAACAGATCGGTGATAATCGCACCACCGATGCTGTTGGTAGTGGTGGTGATAATGAGAATACAAATTGTAGTAACAAAACAAATGTACAAACCGTTGACACCATTAATGATAATCAAATCACGACTGAAGTCATGGAACCATTGGTGGAGACGTTAGACGATCGCATATCTGAGGTATGCTTTCCTATTGAAACCTTTAAAAGCGTTGGTTTAATTGATATTTGCGTTCGCAGTCGAACTCTGGTATGTCGACCACCACTTACCCCACCCTTCACCTCAAGCCAAACACTGTCCACACGTACGCATCGCTGGCGTCGACCTCCGCGGCCACCGCTGCTGAAGAACTAATTGTTCCGCATTTGTTGCACAACAACAGCAACACAGCGTCGGAGCCGTCGTCGCACAGTCCGTCGCCAACGGGACAGACGTTTGTGTGTCTATACTGTCACCGAGTATTTGCGTCCAAATATAAGCTCAAACGGCACGAGTTTGTCCACAAACCCCTCTCCAAGCCATTCAAGTGTCCCTGGAGTGAGTGCGACCTCCGGTTCCGCTCGTCGTTTGATATGCGCCGCCATTTGGTGACCCATACGGGCGAACGGCCCTTCGGGTGCGACCAGTGCGGCAAACGCTTCTCCAGAGCCGACAAACTCAAGGAACACAAACTCATTCACGTGAAGAGGTGTCAACGGATGGCCAAACAGTTTATGCTTCAACACCAGCAACAGTACAACAACAGTGACCAACACTTCCCGATGGCAGCGCACGAGTCGCCATCGATGATAGGTTTGGATCACACGAGTGGCGATGATTTGAGTGCTCTGGACACGAGTCTACTGTTTGACAATCAATTGGTGGCCAATATTAAGACTGAACTCAATGTGCTGTGAGATATGCGACTGAATAGGACACGGGTTTTAATATAACAAATATAAACTTTTGGAGATTTTT